TTTTTATATTATTTTTAATTACCCCCATCATGGGGTGTTGCCACCAGCGCTTTTAGTGATTTTCAGTTTATTGCATAAAATTTGACACATAACATGATAATTATTTAAAGATAATATGCATAGTATAGAATAATCAATTTAACATGTATATACATATGTAATAGTTAGTGTACAAATATGTATATGTTATGACAGATAAATTAATTATTTGTTTGTATACAATTGGTATTAAATATTGATATATTGAATATAATTATAATATTAATTAAATATTAAATATTGATAAGTGTAAGATGTGTAATGCAGAGCATTGTGCATATTACGACAAAATGTTAGTTCAAGAAAACTTGAATTTTACGCATCCATAAATTAGATTAAAAAAATGATTTTGAATATCTCATTATCATTGGGAAATAAATAAAATTTAGTCATAAATTGTGAAAATGAATATTTTATATAAAATTTAATATGTAAATTTGTTTTTTTTTTNAAATTTAGTCATAAATTGTGAAAATGAATATTTTATATAAAATTTAATATGTAAATTTGTTTTTTTTTTTAGGCGTGTACAATTAATTGCAGCCATACATTTTGTGAAATTTGTTTAAATACTTGGTTGAGAGAAAATAATGTGTGTCCTCTTTGTCGAACTTCAGTTCAAACCGAAACCCTATGCCTATCTATGGATAACTTCATTACTAATATTTGTAATGTTCTTGGGAATGAAATAAAAGAACATCGGGAAAATATACAACAAGAAAGTAAGTATATTTGAACATTTATTAACTTATATTTATTGTTATAACTATTTTTAGGATTGGCAGTTAATGTCCGGCGAGCACCACAAATGGCTCGGAGAGGTCGTAGAAGAAGATAAGATATACGTCAAAATATGTAACCTGCACATGTGTCAATGAGAAATAGTGCAAAGAATTCATAAGGTAAATTTATTATTATTATTATTATGCGTATAATGTTCACTAAATCGTTTCCATTGGCACCAACACCGCCAATGACGACTTTTCCTCCGAACGGTCCAGCATTACCAACATCAATGTCCACCGCGCGAACAATTTCAATCTACACGGTGCCAACTTTTATTGTTACAATTCAGGATAACTCGGCTACGGAACCTGACGTGTTGTGTACGCGATACTTACAACGTATACATACATATATACGCGTTTAAAAAAAGTGAACGAATTAATACCGTCACATTCCGTAACCGTTACTACGATTCTTAATGAAATTAATTATACAAATTTATTAAGTCGGCCTCATTATGTTGCTCCGTGACATTGACCTTAAAGGGAAAAGCAAGATCATCGAAGACAATTGTAGCGATTACTGTTAACTATTATAATTATTACTTACAGACGGTACGGCGTTCTGGTTGAGCACCCTGCGCACAGAACTGCTAACGTAGTCGCTGGGCAGAAAATGCCGGTAACACAAAAACGAACGCAAATGTCCATCAGACTGAAGGAGACGTCGCATCGAAAACAATTAACTAACGTGTACATATTTGTGTAAACTGACACCGTCGGCGACGGTGGTGTAGCACAAAACACACCGGTTTACCACGTTTAGAAAAAATAAAAAAATTAAATTCTGTGGTCAAAAACCGGGCATGATTATAAAAAAAAAAAAACTATTTATAAATTATATATGAATTATTATTATTCTATTTATGTATGAACTATATATAAATTATATATTTATATAAAAAACTTATGGTAATAATCACTTTTTATAAATGGAGATCAGATGAAACGATGACGATGTAAATCATACGTGGATCCTAGTGAGTGTCCGGAAATACAGCAAAATAAGTAAATAGCGCTTTTTAATCGCGCCACAAAAAAAGTCAACAAAAATTCCCCTGCGATTGGGAAAATCATTTAGTAGTATTTGTCGAGTCATAATGAAACAAATATTTATAAAACCGACAATAAACAATAACTATTACGGGCAGCCGTCGTCTCGTCGGACCGTCGAAAGCGGGCAACAAAAAAGCAAACGTAAGTATACTATAGATTTATGCACGCGTACCGTTTAAAAAGTAACATCGAAATGAAATTTTAATTTTCACAGGGTGTTTCATGTTGCAACAGCCCGTACCACCTTAGGTGGGACTGCCGAAGTAAAGGTAAAATAACCTTCAATTATCTTTCATGTGTTCAATATATTTATCTTTATTTTAGAAACGTTAAAAAATAAAATAACAATGAAAAAGCGTTTGAAAATCGCGAGGCGAAAAGTGGCGAAATTGCGACGCCTTCTTAAAGAAGCTAAGGAGGAATCGGCACCACAGCAACAGGAGGGACCACCATCTCCTCCTGACGTAGAAAGCCGGAGCAAGATATGAGATGCATAGGCGTAACACAATTAGAGGTAGAACTGTTTTGGTAATTGTAATATACTAAGCGTCGCGCTCCGCCAAACGGTTCGGGAATCGAGGCGATCGGAGAAAAAGCTGAATTTTAAAAGGGAAAAAAGGTAAAATATGTTCCAGGTGCAGCTTATTTAGAGGGGCTTAGGATTTTAGTATATAGCTAGAAACTAGAGATTTATATCTGTGTTTAACATTCAAGATTGATAAATCACCTTGAATACTAAATGTGAACAGTGTTACCTGTTAGTTTAGAGAAATTTTGAAATCATGCCAACGACAGTGCTAAATAATGAGAACCTGCGATGGATGTTCATTACTGTATTCGTACCTAAGTATATAAATGAAATATTTTTATGTACAAAACAGTCCATATAATCCATGCATTTAATTATTTAATTATCATTAATGATTCAGATTTTTTTATTTTAATTTTGATTTCCAACACAAATTTAATATTCCAAGTTTGATTCAAAAGTCTAATAATTAGCAATATCACTAACTGCTTATTTATTTTATAGGTTTTGAGACCATTTCTCTTAAGAAGATTAAAATCAGAAGTTGAAAAACGTTTAAAACCTAAGAAAGAAGTAAAAGTTTATGTTGGTCTCAGTAAATTACAAAGAGAGTGGTATGCATGTCAAAATTCTAGACATAATATTTATTAATTATATTATAAATTACTTTATACTTTAGGTACACCAAAGTTTTAATGAAAGATATTGATATTGTTAATGGAGCTGGTAAAGTTGAAAAGATGCGCTTACAAAATATTCTCATGCAGTTAAGAAAGTGTAGTAATCATCCTTATTTATTTGATGGAGCTGAACCTGGTCCACCTTACACAACAGACGAACATATTGTAAGACATTACTTAATTTTGTATAATTTTAACATTTTATTAATTGATCTATGTTAAATAGGTCAACAACTGTGGAAAAATGGTTGTATTTGATAAATTATTAAAAGCATTGAAAGACCAGGGTTCAAGAGTTTTAGTATTCAGTCAGATGACACGTATGATGGATATATTAGAAGATTATATGCACTGGTGAGGATACAGTGTTAGTATTATTAAATTTTTAATTACTTGACATATAAATACTTTATAATTTAAATCTCTTAAATTCAGTATTGTAGATTAGATGGACAAACACCTCATGAAGATCGTCAACGACAAATCAATGAGTATAATGAACCAAATAGTAAAAAGTTTGTATTTATTCTTTCTACTCGTGCTGGTGGTCTTGGTATTAACTTAGCTACTGCAGATGTAGTCATATTATATGATTCAGATTGGAATCCACAGATGGATTTACAAGCTATGGTGAGAAATTTCATTTTTGATTGTGGTGATATTTTAAGAAATAACCATGAATATGTTTTAGGATCGAGCTCATCGTATTGGCCAGAAGAAACAAGTTAGAGTCTTTCGATTGATTACTGAAAATACAGTAGAAGAAAAGATAGTCGAAAGGGCTGAAGTTAAACTGAGGTTAGATAAATTAGTTATACAACAAGGACGTTTAGTTGACAATCAAAAAAATGCATTGAACAAAGATGAAATGCTCAATATGATAAGACATGGTGCAAATCATGTTTTTCAATCTAAAGATTCTGAAATCACTGATGAGGATATCGAAACTATTCTACGAAAAGGAGAAGAAAAAGTAAAACTTTTTTTTTTCTAAATAAACGGAATACTAAGTTTAATTTAATATTTTTAGACTGAAGAAATGAAACAAAAATTGGAGTCATTAGGGAAATCATCTTTAAGAAACTTTACATTGGATGCTCCAACAGAATCATTGTATACTTTTGAAGGTGAAGATTATAGGTGAGTATTATGTTTTCTTAAATGAATTTAAAGATGTGAGTTATATGTAATTTACTTTTAAGTATTTTATAATCAAGGGAGTACTTAATAATAATTTATTGTTGATTCAAATTTTGGTACTTATGTGAAAAAAAAATATTAACTTTTAATCATGATTAAAATAATGAACACTTTTACATCTTTCTATTTCCTGAACTTAACATGCTACAGAGGGTGGTAGCCCTCTTTCATATGGGTCATTCCATGTGAAATCGCCTAATGTGTGTGCCTAATATTTCAGAATTTTATGAAATTTATATCATAGACTTCTTAAAGGTCATTGACAACAAAAATATATTTTTTTTATTATTATTTTTTTTTTACCAGATAGCACATTTTTTATAATTAAAAACATGAAAAAACAGCCTATGTTCTAGAGCTTATAACTTCATATCCAAATAAGCTATCACTGTGGAACTAGCACTGTTTTACTCATATTAAATAGTACTTCAATTTCATTCTTAAGTTTATAAATTTGTTAATTTTATAAGTTTATTAATTTATAACTTATTTGGATGTGAAGTTATAGGCTCTAAAACATAGGCTGTTTTTTCATGTCTTTAATTATAAAAAATGCGCTATCTGGTAAAAATAAAATAATAAAAAAGAAAATATATTTCTGTTGTCAATGACCTTTAAGAAGCTATGATATAAATTTCATAAATTTCTGAACTATACCAGCACACACATTAGATGATTTCATATGGAATGACCCATATATTAGGCAGTCAAAGATGATTCTTGGCTAAACCAATGATGGACTGACGATTATTATGACACCACTAACTAGAAAATCACAAGAAATATCTTATTTACACCCTTGGGAACAAACCCGGGATCCCATGCGTTGAAACATACGTTTCTACTCACTAGGTCAGGCCAACCTTAACTTTTAATTATGATTGTGTTAAATATTTTTGAATATTTCATATAAAAAAAATTGAACATTATACATCCCTATGTCGAGAAGTACTTTTAATTGAGTTATTATTAATTTTTTTATTATATCGTTTTCTATTTTAGAGAAAAACAAAAGTTAATAGGAATTGGAAGCTGGATAGAACCGCCAAAAAGAGAACGCAAGGCAAATTATGCAGTAGATGCTTACTTTCGTGAAGCATTAAGAACATCTGAGCCAAAACAACCAAAGGTAAATCTAATCTTTTTATATAATAAGGCAAAAAGTGCTTTTCTGAAAAGTTACTTGCATGGTGCACAGACATTTTGTTCAACAGGATCAAGTGCTTTTGTTGAAAAAAAAATTATTGACAAAGATCAGAATTTTTTTGTTGCTTGCCCATAAGCATTTTATAATTTCGACTATTTTTTTACCCGATCCTTTTCTGAAGTATCATAAAAATATAGTTTTCATATTTGTATTGATTGGGTAAGATTATTAACTATCTTCATTGTAACTTTTTTTTCGGATGTTATATTAGTTAATAACTACATGTTTGGTATACAAATATTTTCCATCATTTTCTCGTAAATATATTTATAATACAAATTTTTTTGATATATTTAATTAAATTTATTGGTATATTTAAAATTTGTTTGAACTTATGCTTTATAATTGACTTACTTTTTAAGTGTATTTAATTTTTTTATTTTTTTAATGAATGTTTGACACTAAAAATTTCATCAATTATAAGTATATAAGTTTGGGTATACATTACAGTATAATCTATTAATAATTTTATTTATTTAATATATAATGTGTAAGTTTATTGTAATAATTGGGACTTATTTATGACAACTATGCTGTATAATGTCAAATCACTGTAATGAACATTCTTGTAAAAATTCACTTTTTTTACAAACCTGTCGAATTTTTCTATAATGTTAACACAATTATAATTAGAATATTATTAGATTCAATGCGAAACTGAGAAGATAATAATTTTTATTATTATTATTATTTTTTTGTGTGCCTGTTACCACATTTTTCAGCTCTCTCAAGCCGATTTCTTTCAACAATACGTTAAAAGATCACAAATCATATCTAGTCAAAGACATTAACCTCAAAAATTGAAAACATTTTTCTCGTTTCCCGTAAATAAGAGAAATTTCCAAAAAAATTACAATTTTATAAATCAGTATTTTTGACATTTTTTTCACTTTTTTTCTTAAAACTACCATAACTTTTTCAAAAATGAACAAATCAACATAATTTTTTTTTTTATATTGAAACCTTAGATATTTATCTCATTTAGATTCAATAACTTCAATAAAGATCAAGGATCCCATCACTGTCGTTGTCACTCACGAGAAGAATTTTTTATTCATATTAAAATTATTTTACTATATTTTAAGTTTTAGCTTCGATGCGAAGCTGAGAAGGTATTTTTTTATGACTATTATTTATTTTTTCTACTCTAACTTGACCTACTTTTTTCAATGATATGTCAAATTACTACAATTCGTATCTAGTTGAAGAAATTACACTCAAAAATTGAAAAAAAATTTCTAATTTATCAATGAAACAGTTACTTATCTCATGTTCTCCATACAGACAATTAAAATCATTCATTTCTAATGTTTTCAGAGTATTTATTGACGAATCAAGTTTGATATGATCATTTTATATGATAGGTTTCAACTACATAATTAAATCATTTTACTTTGTAATTTAATCATTTTTTTACTCTATTTGTGTGTACTACTCCTAGACTATAATATTCCAAAGTTTTTGGTAACATGTTGCTATATAAATCATTTCTAAAAAAAATTATTGTTAGTATCTCCTGAATTAACAATGGATTTTTACAATTATAATCAAATTTTTAATTTTTAACTGAGTAAATCTTTTTAACAACTTTGCCTGTTAAGATAAAAATGCAAAAAAATATTGAGCTACTCAGATAAATTTACTATAAATAGTAATTATAAAACTTCCTGACTGCATATTAATCTGAACGATACAATTTTTTTAATTCTCATAACATTTTCTATTTAATGATGTCAATTTCAAACTTGCCAATTGAACTAAAAGTTATGGTAAAATAAATACTTTTTTTTTTTATTATGAACATTCACAAAAATCAACTTTAAGGGATTAAAAAAATAGATTAAATATGTCATTTTCTTATTTTTAACATATTAATAATCAAAATCAGTATAAATTTAAAATAATTTTTTTTTGTTCTTAATTGTTTTTTTTTTTTATGTAAATACTTAGTTTTTAATAATAAGTAATAATATTAAAACTTAGAAGTGATAGTAAAAGTCTAATTGCACATTTGAAAACATCACGAAAAGTTGATTTAGAAAAGTACATTTTTGTTTCTGATGAAAGTTCATTGTAGTCCAGTGTATAAAGCTTATAACTTTGTTAACTGTTATAACTTTATCAAAAATGACCAAATCAGTATAATTTTTTTTTATATAGATGCATGTCTTTATCTATCATTTGGTTTTTTTTTTTATATAAATCTGACCCCTTATCTGCCCACAAAAGGGATTCAAAATGATAACTTTTTTTTTTTTTTTTAGTTAAAGTATATCTTTAAAATTAATTAAGTTCTGGATATTTCAATTGTAGAATTTTTTTAAATACCAAAAGTTACTTAGAAATGATTACTATGATTTTTATTTAAGTTATCTATTACGATAAAAATGCAAAAAAATAATGAGCTTTTCTGATAAATAGTAATTATAAAATGTGACACGGTTACTCGTATCGAATAGGTAATAGAAGATAACGAAGGGGAATTTCGAATTACGGCGCGCCGATTGGGTTTGTGGAGGGAAATATACAGAAGTAGAATACTTACTAAAATCGATTAATATTCATGTTAAAGTAGAGTATTCTAAATTAAAGTACGTTGAATGTATTTTATGGAGTAGGCAAAAACGAATATTCCAAGTATTATTTTTAAAATAATACAATAGTGAATTGTTTGTCATTTACTAAGTAAGAGAGTCGTCGTATACAATAATTGACATGTATAGAATGTAAAATCTGATATGATATTTTTTATATCAGATAATGAAGTCTTAATGTTTTTAATAATATCACACTTATAATAAATTATTATTTTTTCAAATAAAAGAAATAATATAAATAGGAAAAATCATGTTTCAATATTGGGCAACAACCACATAAAAAAAGGTTTTATTCATATTGAAATACAGTACTCGAAATATAAATTGAATGCATTAATATAGTTCATAATTTATTAAATTATTAATTATTTATTAAAATAATTTATTATTTTTCGACCCATGGTAAATAATATTGTAAACAAAGGATATTAATTTCTTTTAAAAATAAAAAAAATAAACGTTTCTTTATTAATTAATGTTTATTTATTGTCACGATCACACACATAAAAAAATTTCGTCCTTATTGAAGTACTATACTCGAAGTACAAATTNCGTCCTTATTGAAGTACTATACTCAAAGTACAAATTGATATAATTATTATTAGAAAAATACGGTTTAATGAGAGACTCAAACGTAAACCAATACAATAATATTAGTAAAGGAATTACGTTGTAAATTAAATAAGAAATAAACATTTTCGATAAACTCCGAGAGCGGACTGCGCACATAGTAATCGTGATGATCCTTCGTCGTCGAATGGCAATATCTTATGGAATGGAAGTTTGACAGGCTAAAAGTAAACAATATAAATCAAAATAAAATCCAAGATAACAACAAAAAGCTTACAGTACCATTTTGGAGGAATGGCAAACAGTAAGGGAGGGCAAGCATAAGCTAAAAGAAAACCAACAGCACAGAACTATCAACACATCAACAGAAGTGAAAATATTGTAGATTTACCAAAGGCCGTGCACTATCTAAAATTTACAAATCACATTAATTAATAGTCACTATTATAATAAGGAAAAAAAAGAAGATTTAAATATTTCATTTGTCATACGATTATCAATTACACATTTTAATAAATAATCACGTTGTTTCCGTTAAACTTTCATCAGTAAAGATATTCATATAAATTAAAATNGTTATACTTTCATCAGTAAAGATATTCATATAAATTAAAATTGCTAATAAATAATCGCATAACTGAATATAAATAAATATACACATACAAAAACATTTGGATCTTATCGGCCGATACAGTACATATTACTTTGTAACCAACAATAAATAAAATACCCACCGACCTAATAATTAAAGCAGGCAAAGTAATTAAATTTATTTCAAATAAAATAAGTCAAAGTCAGTTACCTGTGTAATACAATTATTATGAATTAGAGCCAGCACTCTTTAGGTCGGTTGGCCGCTAATAAATCACAGTCAACCGGGCAAGACAGATGCACAGACTGAAAATTACAAAGTCAAATCAATTAATACTGCCATTACCATAATTATAATAAAATATCTACAATATAAAGTATATAAGTGACAAAATGTATTTATATATATGTGTATATATACAGGGTGATTTTTTTATCATAACCCATTCAATTACTTACAGAATAATAATAATTTAAACATTTTTTTTTATTACTATCTTTAGTTACACATTATTCTTGAATTATTAACTATGTAATACTTTTTAAGTTCATCCCTTATGCCTGGTAAAGGTGTCAACTTTGTTTTTTTAAATGGTAACACGTATTTTTAATTTAATAAAATGTTTGAGCTTTTAATTCAATAATAAATGGCATTTGAATTTTTAATGAAACTTAATTTGCTTATTAGATATAAACATTTAAAGTTTCAAATTTTTGAGTTAATATATAGGTATAATACACAAGGGAATACAAATACAGGTAGCTAATTGATTTTTTATGACATCGATATTAGCAGATACACAGCATTGTTATTATCAATGATAGTAAGGTACATTGTTGTGAGTTTATAAATACACTAACTGACAATACAAAAGTATTTCTATTGATAGTCATAATTGATAATAAACAATTCGTTACTGTGATAGCAATATCATAAAAAACCAATTAGCCTGTATTTGTAATCCCTTGTGTATTATACCTATATATTAACTCAAAAATTTGAAACTTTAAATGTTTATATCTAATAAACAAATTAAGTTTTATTAAAAATTCTAATGCCATTTACTATTAAATTAAAAACTCAAACATTTTATTAAATTAAAAATATGTGTTACCATTTAAAAAAACAAAGTTGACCCCCTTCCAAGGCATAAGGGATGAACTTAAAAAGTATTACANGGCATAAGGGATGAACTTCAAAAGTATTACATAGTTAATAATTCAAGAGTAATGTGTAACTAAATATAATAATAAAAAAAATTTTTTTAATTATTATTATTCTGTAAGTAATTGAGTGGTTATGATAAAAAAATCACCCTGTATATATAGAGAGAGAGAGATTGTATAGGCTGATGTAGTACATATTGCACCAATAAATGAAATACAAATCAAACTAATGATTAATATATGCCAAGTAAATTAATTAAAATGTATAAAGATGAACTGTATTTTAAGAAAAGTCAATAGCAATAAATTTCTTTTGACAAATGAAAATAAATTACCTGTTCAATAAATCCAATAGTGATGACTGCCATCAATCTCCAGCATAGTTATCGTGGCACAACAGTAANACTGCCATCAATCTCTAGCTTAGTTATTGTGGCACAACAGTAGCACAGTCTAAAAATTACAAAAATTAATTAAATTAATACTGTCGTTTCCCTAATAATATTAACAATTTAAAAATTATTATAATTCAAAAATAATCATAAAGGGAACAACAAATACGCGCAAACAAAAAATTGCAAATATAACGATTGCAAAATTGAAATAATTTACAACACGCATTAATTATTACAGTCATTAAAAATAAATATTTAATAATTATTGCAACTGCTGTACAACAATAGTCAATTGCACATTTTAATTGATACTCGAGAACACCACAAAGACGTTTATGAGTAAACACGATAACAAAAATGAATATTTTATGATTTTATTCAATACTAGCCGAGGCTCTACCATACCGGAGCATAGTGGAATTTTAAATATAACTGACACATTTGTTTTTTAATTTACTAAATTTTTTTACCTTAACTCTAGGGGAAAAGGAATTAAAAACTGGTAGACGAGTAGTATAGGCGATGATGTTTTATTTTATATAATGAGTTTAAATAAAATAATGATGCCCAAAGTACAATAAAATAATGTCAGTTACAATTGTTTAAAATAAAATAAAATTACAAATTCTTTTATATAACATATTTCAAGTCATAGTTAAAATTATTACAAATTATTAATTGAGCTACAGGACAAATAAAACAAAAAGGACATGAGGGAGAAAATAATCTCTGACAATGCTGTATTGACTTTGTTCGATTTGACCAAAGGACAGGAGCGTACTTTGCAATATTGAATAAAATAAATTGGTTATCATTGCAATAATGTTCAAACTAAGAACTTGACATCGGTCAATATGGATCTAGGCCTTTTATACCGAGCCTTGAGACTGCTAAGCACATCTAGATTGGTCCAACACATGTGAGGTTTTATTACACTCAACATGACAAAAATAATTATAGGGTGGACGAAAATAATATTTTCAGCTGATTTACCAAAAGTCAATGAGCAAATGTGCCAAGAGATCAAATAGAATAATTATATTAAAATATTTAAAATATATTAATGTCATTTAAGTTATTTTTAAAGAAACCTCGTGACAATACACGAATAGAGGAAACAATGAAATGGACGAAAATAAAGAAAAACGGGAATGCTGTACAAAGTTACCAAATTATATTATTATGACGTCCAGGCCGTAGCCAACAAATGAAATCTTCACCCATGGCTCGATCGCCAGGGCCAAAAGTAAAAGTTAGGCAGCCATGAGATGTTCAATATACGCTAGAGATGGGTAGTTCGTGAGTGAGTCAACTGAAAGAGTTGACTCTTTTAGGTGAACTGAGTGAGTTGAATCAGTGTGCCATAGTACTGTGACTCAATGACTCAGTGTGAACTACTAAGAATTGAATTTAGTTTAGAACGTCTTTTAAATTAATTCTGAATCATGAGAATTGTGATTCGATTCTTTATCAAGGTTAATCTTTCCTTATAGGTTATTTAATATTTTATTTGATAATAACTCTTCATGATCCAGCGATAACTGATATTACTTATTACCATTAGTGTTATGTGAATTTGTGCAAATTGTGCAAATTGTAACTTAAATATAATTCAATTTAAATTTAATTTCAACATTTTAAGTCTACATCAACTCATCATGGGTGAGTGTTATTATTATTTAAAAGTTATAACATTTAAATTGAGATTAATGATTGATTTTTTAAATTATCATTTTAAATTATAATTCTACAATATTAAAAAAAGTATTACCTGAAATGAAATTACAGTTGTTAAGTAACAAGAAAAAAAAATTATTTCCATAAATAAAAATATTTTGAAAATATCTATACCGACTAATGTTTGTATTCTAAATTGGAATTCTTAATTGATATTGAAACAAACATTATGGTAATAATTATTATATATAGGTGATAATATTACCAAATGTGCTTCATATTAATATTATATATTAATTTATAATTTTTATATTTACTAATAATGAAAAATGTATTTATATAATCATAAATAATATTAACTTATTCATGTTCTAGAACCTGTTATATCAACAACAAACATAAAACAAGTACTCAATAACTTGAAGTAAGTAAACCTACAATAAAGTTTCTATATACAAAAACAATGTTTCCAAACCTAGGAAATAAAATTAATTCAGAAAAAATAAAGATATCATAAAAGTTTTAAAATAGGTATTCAAAATATTTAGAACTACAGTCATTTAATTAAATATTTAAAAAAAACATTATGTAGAATTAAAATTAAGAAATATCATTTTTTCAAAGTTTTTACTTATTAACCTACTTCTTTTTTCAGTTATAATTTGCCCTGCTTTAGAAAATATTCGTTCGCAGGGCACTGATGTAGCTAATACGCAGTGGCGTTTTTTCATCAGTTCAAACAAACGTGGATATACATTTTGGTTGTCTCTCCACCATTTTAAAATGTTTTTATTTCTTGGAATTAACCCTTCTTGAAGGTATTTATCAATTTCAATGATAGCTGCAGAAGTTGGATTTGTAGATATCAGTTGACTACTTACTTCTTCATCAAAATCGTTCCAAATAGAATCTCCTCCAGTAACAGAAGGTTGATTTTGTGTCACAATTGGTATATTATTTTCAATCCGTATCGATGTAGCTTTATCAATTAATGTTTTTTTTCCTTCTAAAAATGCTCTTTCACTAAAAAATCCAAATTTTTTAAATCTTGGATCAAGAATCGTGGCTTCTGCCAAAATTTGTATTTTTTCAAGTGATCCAAATCTTTGTTGTACTTGTTGATTTAATTTGGAAACCATATTTGTTAATTGCGGTGAATCATATGACTGATTTTCCAAATGAGTACAATACTTAAGTAGTGCTCGACTAAATACAATAGATTTTGAAATAGAAACACATTTCTCACTACTTATTTCTACTGTTATTTCCTTAAAATATTTTAATATCTCACATGTTTTTGAAATAATTAGCCCGTCATTATTGGACAAATAAGCATCATAATGGCAATCAACTAATACTGATGATAGAGGAACTTTAAGATCTAGAATACGCTGAAACATCTCATATGTTGAATTCCAACGAGTGACAACATCCTGAATCAACATTAAAGGTGGTATAAAGCCTAATTGAATTTGCATATTTTTAAGTTTTTCAGCTGCTTGAGGGCTTCTCTTGAAATGACCTACAATTCCTCTTACTTTATCTCTTATTTCAGATATTAATTTAAGAGCTGTTTGCACCACTAAATTCAAGCTATGAACATAACAACTTACATGTCTCCATCCACACATATTAATAGCATTAACTATATTGTGAGCGTTGTCCGTTGTGCATGCAGCAATGCAGTTACC